TGGGGTTTATTGTTCTCAGCACTTAACTGCTTTTAGCAAAAACTTGATAAGTACTTTAAATGACTAGATAGCAACAATTATGTAAGGATCTTACTCAGCTAATCAGAAAAGATAAACAATGCTTGCAGTTTCTTGTTCTCTTTCTAGTGCATCAAAACTCTTGTTCTGGCAATGTGTCATCTGGCAGAATTAAGTGTGAGATAATAGTCATGTTATGACTAATACACAAAAATATCACTCAGTAGCTAAATAATTGCAGAGCATGATATTTCTTCATTTGTGACCTGTGTACTGTGGTTTGTTACACTGAGTGATGTGCAGCCTGACAGGATGAGATGTTCAAAATCTGGGCTGTAGGCAAATGTCCACAGTAGAACAGATAATCTCTGTAAACCATTGTGTGCTCACTGAAGGACATAATAGACAAACTCTCATCCTCCTGGAGTGCATGCAAGCATTTCTGCTGCTGCTGTGGGATTTACATAGCACAAATAACTGCATTTGCAGTAGTAAAATAAAGACATCACTTATCAGCTTAGCTCCTGTTAAGGTGTTAGTCTGCTCTGCATTTTAATATTGATCTGTGAAAAAGAATGACTGATGGGGCTGTTGAAACCAAGATAAGATAAAGCATAAGAGCATATAATGACAGTGTGAAGGTCAGCATTTAATTGAATGTTAGATAAGAGGAGATAGCTTCCTTTCACACCATGATGCCTGTTTGTCCATTTATGTTGTGTATCTTGAGATTTTAGGCCTGGCTCTGCATTATGTTCTAGCAGCTGAAACCCTTTATAGGAGGGATTGATGGTTCCGTGGGCTGTATGTGACCTTTACAAGCAACTCATATAGATAAAGTTCTTTGGATAATCACTTTTGAGGTGGGGGGGAGGGCTCATAAAAAACTTTGTTTTGGAGAAGATGCTGTGAAACTTAGTCAAACAAATTGTTCTACAAAGCTTGGATTAAAAACCAGAGAAATCAAAAAGCCCGTTTGCAACCAGTTTAGAAAAACTGGTAGAGATCTAAAGACTAGGGCCAGACCTTGGTTTTATTAATTATTCTCTTTAAAATCCATGTAGAAAAGCAAATTAAAAGGTTTGTCATCAGAGAGTGGTTTTCATTTCCTAGATGAAAAGGTAATTCATTCCTGAAATCACCTGGGTGCAATAATAATGACTTGCTGTTGTGGCTTGGAGTTGAGTACCAGCAAGGTGTCAAATTCATCAATATTAGACTTTGCTATGCATAAGACTTTGAGTCCTCAGCCTGAGTCTTCAGTAGCAAACCCACTGAGAATGCAGATTTATTACAACCATTGTAATGTGAGAAGGAGTACATGCTCCTTGTGTAGCTTGTCAGCCACAGTAATGGAATTACAGCCTAGAATGGATGTGCAGGAATGTACTTGAATGTGTTTTTGTCAGGATCAGCAAAAGTTTTGCACAAAGGACCAGCATCTCTTGCAGCCCTGGGCCAGGTGTCCTGCCCGCCCTTGTGTCTCACTTTTACTGCCAGCTAGCTTGTTTGTAGTGTAGGCTGCTCAGACTTCATCTTGGAATGAATTTCTCCCCTTCTCCAGCACTTCCAGGGGAGGCTATTCAAGAGTTCTGCTCCTGTGGCCACCAGAAACCTAATTTTTCTCTGTTCAAATTTGTTTCTAAACTCCATTTACTGGTGTGTTACACATAAGTCTGCAGGTTGTTGCAGACTGGAGTCTTGTGCTTCATTTTACCCTTCAGCATTCTTCCTTACATTTACTGGAAATTCCATGCTTTGTATGTCTCACAGTGAATTTGCCATTTATGTCTTGTATTCATTGCGTCAGTACAGTACTCACATCTCTCCCTCTTCTGCCCCTTGCAGTTGATAAGATGTCTTTTAGGAGTCCTGAAAAATACTGAGCTTCCTTCCATGCTTCTCACTCCAGTCCTCCAGCTGTGCTGTTCTTCCTGGGCACAATTTCTGTGCATTGATGCAAGCACATCTGTTTTGTGTTGCAAGCCTTCGTGTTCATACCAGATTAACCATGCAGTTGTTAGACATTCCTTTTGAATAGCCATGTGTTGGCACAGGGAATGTTCATATAAGCAGATACGGGTGTGTCTCAGGTATTTTGTAAATAATGGATCATAGAGCAACATGGAAAAAACCACAGATTTTGCTTTGAATTGCATAAAAGAGCTTCCAAGGAGAGAAAACAATTCTACTTCTATTGTTCTCATTATTACAGTGGGGAGTTTTTTCAGTTTTTGATGTGTCTGAAAATGACAATAGTTTATGGTTTGTTATTTAAGGCTTGATAAATCAGCAGCTTCCCTCTGCTTGAAATGTCCTTAGCCTTTAATAACTGGATAGGTTTGGGTTTTTTTCTGAATTCTGTGGCACCAACAATCCAAGACATGGTAGATGTGGGCTTTGGAGAGAATGACTTGGGAAGAGTTCTCTGGCTGGGAGAGCTTTCTTCAGGAAACTCCGCATCCCAGCCACAAACAGGTTTTACTGACAGGAAAAGGGCATAGGCAATTTAAAAAACAAAAAGATTTCTGACAGCATTTAGCCCACGAGGGGTTTGTGTGAGCAGCACTTAGACCCTGAGTCAATGTTCTGTGTATGATAAAGAATTGGAGAGGGAATCCCCGTGCCAGTGCAGCTGGAAGGAGATCTCTGCTCTATGATTTGCACTTTGTAAAGTGGCAGATCAGATTAATACAGTGATGATTCCGTCTTTGGAAAGCTTACCTGAGACTGCCATTGAGAGGTGTCTTATCCTACTGTCCTTTTGCTGACCTCTTTGCTAATGTTTCCCTGTGGAGGCTGATAATATTTCCATAGCTTGACTTCACAGAAAAACAGTGTCAGTGGAATTCTACAAAATTCTCTTGATGACCCTAAAATAACCATTTTGTAAATATATACAGCTTGTCGTGGGGTAACAATGGCATCAACTCTTAAACACATTAACTAAAATTCACCTATGTATAATGTGACTGTCTTAAAGTTATTAACCCTTCTGCCCTGTCACATTTTGAATTCCATATTTTATAGAAGAAAGAAACCCTGTATGGGAAGTGTGGGATTCTCAAGTACCTGTTCACTCAGGAAGAAATGGTGCTCTGCTGCCATGAATCCAGCTTTATGATCATTGGGGAAAAAAATTCCAAACTAGTTTTATTGAAACCCAAGAATTGCAATGTGGTATTTAAAATTGTAATTGTAACCCAAGTATAATTTAAATTTAAAAGGAATTATTTTTTCTGTAAACTTAGTCAAGGCTCTTACCTGCCTGAGGGAGTCTGTGTAATCCTGAGAAGCTGAAGTTACTCTGTTTTAATATCCTTTGTTATTGGTCCTCTAATAAGAGTGTCCCTAAGTGTTTCAATGAAAGGGAGTTGGTGATAGGTTTTTTTTGGGTTTTTTTTTGTTGTTTTTTTTTTTTTTTTTTTAATTGTAAGGATATCCATTACCACCAAAATTTCATTTTTCTTTCATACTGCAGCTTTTCCCAACAACTTTTGTGTGGTAACAGCCTTTGGTACAGTGGAATTCTTACTAGATCTAATTCTAGCATTAAAACTGAGACTTCATAACAGTGTTAGTCTTTGCCTGCAAATAAGATGTTCCTTTCCCCCACTTCAGCAGTGTAGCTTTATGCTTATCTTTGTCCCAGAAATTGATTGCCTGTTATCTGTTTAGGTGTATTTGTCACCCCCAGCATTCTATTTCTGCCAACTTGTGCACCAACATTGAGTTATTTCTTGCAGTGTTACCTCATGGAAATGATGATTTTCTTCAGTGAGTGCAATTGTCTGTGTGCTGCTGAAGCAATGGAGTGCAATTTGAGCCTTGTTTCAAGGCTGCTGTTGAACTCTGTGGTTTATGTACCACCCTCTGACCACAGAGGTTCTTTCCCAAAGGACACAAATGCACACAGGTGGATTTATTCAGCCTAATGCAGTGCCATTACAGTGCTATGGACCCAGAAATAAAATGACAGAACCCTGCAGTGTCCCTCTTAGCAGATCTTCTTTGTATATGCCTTGACAGTAAAAACATGAAGATGAGAATATACAGCAATTCTGGATTAAAAACATATTTGACTTGATTGAAAATTGGGTAAAAGTAATGGCTGGGTTTCTTTCTGCTTGTCTTTTTCTAAGGCTATCTGTTAGTCCTGGTCTTGTCATGTTTCTCTTGGAATGTCAGGCTTTTGGGGGACTCAGAACATCAGGATTTCCTTCTAATTGGAACTCTAGATGTCAAGGTGGTGGTAGATCTGTCATGAGCTTTGTAGAGCTTGGTTCTGTATATTTTTGCTTTTTATTTTTGTGAATTTACTTGACAAAGGAAAGTTTCTTGAGTGCCCTATTGCATTGGCAGAACCAATAGTATTTTTTTAAGTGGCTCGTAATCCCAAAAACCTCCTATGCTTCGTTATGTAATGTTTTGTTGATAGAAGAAATTTGCTTTTAATGTTTTATTTAGTATCCTTTGTAGTCATGTTCAGTATGGGTTTTTTGCTGTGTTATTTATTATAAAATTCAGAACTTCTGCATGAAACCCCTTTTCTTTTAATAATATTTGGGGAAAGGGAAGCAGTAAATAAATCTGAAGATCTGGATTATATAGAAAATTTCTTCTCGTAAATGAAACAGAATCACAGAATTGACTGGCAGTTCGTGTGACTAAAAGGAACAGACAGAGGCAGATTAAATAATGCCATGTATCAAAATAGCAAATTAAGGACACTTATTTCTTCTGGTTGTGCAGGAACTTGTGGTGCTTAACAGAACTGGTAAGTGACACATTCACAATCCATTCTTGTCATGTAAAGGTTTCTAGTTAGACACCTTTGCTGGCAGCACCAACACCAATTTAAACACAGAGTTTGCTAATGGCTTCAACGGGGCTGCTTGGTGTTTGTCAGACCTTACCTCAGACCAAGCAGGAGATGCTTGACATTGTCCAGCAGACATTAACCCTTTCCTGCCTTTCCCCAGACGCCCGAGGAGCTGGAGGACGTGTCTGACCTGGAGGAGGAGCAGGACGCGCGCAGCCGCGCCAGCGCCCAGACTGAGGGCAAGACTGACCGGGTACGTGGGAGCTGGCAGGGAAACGCTGCTGTGCTCCCTGCCTCTGAAGCCCCTTCGCTGCTGAAGTGCTCTTGCTGGCAAAACACAAGTAGTAGTTTGTAGATGCTTAGTATCAAAATGTAATAAGATGCACTAAAGCTTTCAAAGATCGCTTTTTCATGCATGGTTTTTGCTTCTCAGCTAACCCAGAGTACTTCTTTAGAGGGAATGCCTCTCTTCAAAAAGAAAACTATAAATAACACACACTTGAGAGGGCACAAAGCAAGAAGTAGATGCTGAAGACTCTCAGGTGGGGAGCTGGCTGTCAGCAGTCGGAGGCACAGACTGGTGCTGTGGGGAGATGTGTCTGGGATGTGCTCCTCCTTGTGAGGTGGAAGGGGCTGTTACACACAGACTGTTGTTAATGCAGCTAAAACCTCCCAGTACCTTAACATTATAGTATGGGCATTTCTGCTTTCCCCCCATTTCTTCCTAAAATAATGCAGCTACTGTAAATGTTCTTTTTTGTGGCATCTAGATAGAGGTCATGGCTTAAAACCTGATTCTGTAGTTTAGAAAAATTTTTCTTAGATTTCAGGTCCTGCTATTTGGGCCATAAATGGCACATCATCCCCTGAAAGCAGTAGAAAATTATAGCTTTGACTAAATTATATACATATGCACTCAGGCTGGAGTACCATCTTGACAGACACATGCACACATTTTTTTTAAAGAAGATGTCTTAACAAATTTATTTGCTGCTGCTGCAGCAGCAGCAAATGAGAAGAGTGATTTTAGGCCTCTTTGTTTGGAGTGCTCTTTGATATTGATATTTGAAGATTTACACCCAGAAGCAATATGAGGGATCTGTGTAGGGAAGATAGATGTTAAGCTTTGGGCAGTGTGTGGTTTTGTGTGGTGCAGCAGCTCTGTGTCCTGTTGGAAGGCTGTTGTATGCAGTGTTGACACCAGGAATGACTGTGTTCCAGAAGTCCTTTGGCAAGACTGCAGAGCAGCCTTTTTTCCTCCTTGAGTTCTTTCTCTTGGGCATTTCAGCTATAATAATTCAGTTTTATTTATACATATCTGGCTCCATATTCATTCTGCATAGGAGCACTCTTGATTCCTCTTGATTTGTCAAGAGTGTTGTAATTTCTTCCATGTCACATCTCTCACTGCTTCAGTGGGGAGCTGGTGCCTTTTTTCTTTGTTTTTATCACAACATATAAAACCAGATGTGATGTGTGTATGCCACTTGTAACAAAGGCTACATTAACTAGCAGATCTTGTTTCCCTTATGCATGAAAAAGTAATGTATTATTAATGACACCTTCAAACTCTGTCTCCATAAGGAGAGAGAGAACAGAGATTAGTGGTGAGATAGTAGGACTGAGATTTGACCTTGTATTTATCTTCCTCACTAATCTTGAAAATGTTACTTCATTGATCTCTCAGATAATTTCCTATTTCTGAGATGAATATAATAGTGCCTGTGGCACCATCCCTGGCTGGGGGATACAAGTCAACTTGGGCAGTGTGCTGTGAGATCTCTGGGTACTTAAACTGGATAAAAATACTGATGATTATTTGTAGGGTGATTTTACATCCTTGAAGAAGAGGCTCCTTAGGATCAAACCCTTATAGCTGTTCCTATAGCTGCTATAGGAACAGGTACTGCTCATGGATCCAAGGAGTAATGCAGTTTTTCCCAGCTGAAAGTTAGCTCTTCCTCTGGTGGTTGTGTGTAATTTGTGTAGTCAGCTCTGGGAGCTTATCACAGACTTATTTATGCTGCCATGATCAGTGTAATTCCTCTGAGGGAGGTAGTGGCTTGTTACTGTGGGATTCTGTGTTGAAGAGAGGGGTGAGTAAGGTTTTGCCCAGTTAATTTTCAACTTAGAGAACAATGTACATGTTAATGATCGGGAAAAATTACTTTAAGTGTTTCAAGTTACTAAATTAGTGATGAGAACAGCTTAGCTTAATTTCAAAGTTGCTGCTGCAGGTTAAGGTGATCGTATTGAGGAAGAGGCAAAATGTTTTACCTCACAACTTAATCCACTTAGGGGTGGCAAGAGCAGAACTCTTTCAGGCAGCCACATATGCACATTTTTTTCCTCAGAGTTCCGCAGACAGTTTTGTGAATGCATAGACAAAAATATCTGAGATTAGGACAATTTTTTATACAGTTTTGTTGCACACTGTGTTTGTGCAACAATTCTGGGCTGAAAAAGCATTGATTCAGTGTGTTCTGTGAATGAACGATTCCAGGTTAAGTTATTTCATTGTTGTCTTTGTATTGCATTTTAAATACAGTGATTAATTATATAGCTCTAAAAATCTACTAAACTCAAAGAGGAAAGCCTGGATAAAACAGCAAAGACCAAGAAGAGCTGTTGATAATTGCATAAAAAGTAGTTAGAAGGGAAACTAGGTTTACCATCAGGTTAATTAGCAATGTTTATTCAAGTGGCAAATACTGTACATCTAAGTTCCTACATTAAATGAAATGCTGATGAACATTAACAGAAAGTGCATGCTATTTTGTTAATAAAAAAGCCAATTTCGTAATATTTAAACATTTTTTATCAAAGCCCTACACAAGCATGAAATACTGGTAAGAATTCAAGCATAATGAAAATAACTACTGTAATTTTGAGTAGGTTCTAGGAATAGTAATTTTGACACTTGATACATAGCAAAAGATTCCCTGTCAGGAGTCATGATCTATCAAAAGCATTTCATTTTCTTGCCAATTTTTAACACAATTTCCGTAAAGAGATTAAGTTACTGAAATACTCAAGGTTGTAGCAGTATATTATATACTTCTACAAAGTAGAGCTGGAAAGAACCTCAAGAACTTGGCTAATCCAGCCATTTGGCCCAGGGCAGAATAAGTACACTTCTTGACACACACATATATATGAACAATTCTATTGCTCTCTCTGCTTAGCTCATTACTGGAATTGATGGTTTATTGGAAAGTTTTTGTCCTTATACCTCATATGTTGCAAGTAACACATTAGCACTCATCTGGAATGGACACAGAGAGTGAGGTTCCTTTCTGCATGTTTTTTTTTTTATGTACTTATGCATCCTTTTTCTATGGCCTCTTTTGGAGACGCCAAGTTGAATAACTCCAGTAACCTTGATTTACTCTTCAGGGTGAGAGTTTCCTGTATGTTCTTTTAGTCTCTGTCTCCTCTGGGTGCTCTGCAGCTGGTTAATGAATTCTTGAATTTTGTGTCCAGACTATTTATATTTCAAAATGTGTGAAGCCGCCTGTGATCTCAGCAGCACAAGTGAGAGGTTTGCACTATTTCCTGCTGCGTGCATAGTTCACAAGGATCTTTGTAGGAGGTTTGCCTTTCTGCCATGAGCACAGCCTTTTATCAGCCACAAATTCCCACCCACACCAGCCCATGGCTGGTTCTATCTCAGTTCTGTGTGTGTGCTGATGATTTTTCTTAGGGGTAAGCCCTGTCGCTGTCTCAGCTGCCCTACCCCCTGTGATGTTTCCAGATCAGTTCTCAAGGTCACTTTGAGTTGTAAACCAGGTGTCATCCACTGCAAGTGTGTGGTGTGGACTCTTGGTTCTGTGGAAACACTGACTAATGCAGCTCCCTTCACAACTTTTCCTGATGGACCCCTTGGCTTGGTGTGTGTTCTTGATAAGTGCTCTGCAAGCAGTTTTCTAACCAATATTACATCCACCCACTGGAGATTACATCTCGACCTTATTTCTCCAGGTTATTTGTAAGGATGACATGAGAGCCAGTGGCAAAGCTCTGGTGAAGCCCAGACTTAGGGCATGATGCTTTTTGATTTATAGGCCTATGGCCCTGGGACAAAGAGAAATTACATTTAATATGTCATACTTGCACCATCTAAGCCAACCTTCTTAGTGAAGGCTGATGCAAAAATTGCATAAACACTTTGTTTGCTATCTCCCAATACTTTCACCTCTTCATCTGGTTTATCCAATTATACTGCATCTAAAAATACAGCAGAACTGTCGTGGCAGAGCAAATGAGGCACTCTCTGAACTTGTTTAAGGAATGCTGCACTTCAGCAGGCTTGCTGTAATTCTTGAAACAGGGAGAACACAGCTGGTGACAGCAGGAGTAAAGTATCGAAAGAAACACAGCTTCTCCCCTCTGTCAGCATCACACACCCACACAGTTCATCTCTGGGGGCATGTATTCACTTAGCTGTCAATGCTGGATATCCAACATACCTGTCACCTCTTCATCCAAACTCACAAAGTGATTCCCTCAGTAGGAAAAGTGGCAGTAGAAGGTGTAGTGGACATGTCTTACTCATTCTGACAGTCCCTTTGTCTCAGTGGTGTCTCCATGAATTCACTTATGAACACACTGGCACTCAAACAGAATGGTTTGGCTTGGAATGGACCTCAGAGATCACCTCATTCCACAGCAGGGATGCCACTCACCTGCTCAGGGCTCAGCTCACATGTGTATTTTATGACAGGGATCTGCAAAGTTTGTTCAAGAAAAAGAGAGGTAAAAGTCATGATTGGAACAGTTGTGAAAGAGCATGATTGAAATATATTGCTGTACTTGAGTGATCTGCAGGGGTCTTGTTCTTTTTCACCAAATGTTCAACTGACTGCAGCCAGAGAGCAGGAACAGAGCAGAGGGCTGCTTCTGGCTGCTGAGGCTCTGGTGGAATGAAAGCCTCAGCTCTCAAGACAAAGTAGGGACACAAATCCATTCTTCTGGGATCTCTGACAGTTTCTTATAACTACAGGATATGAAGAGCAGGTTATTTTGTGTTCTTGCATGCAAAGGCTCTGAGAAGTTTTTTATGTGTTCATTTAGGAAACTGAGGTTTGTTTCCTTGCAGAAATTGCAGAAAAACAGTGTTTTCCTCTTTTCTTCTCTGTAGATACATGACATATTGCAGCCTACAAAGCCAGAAGTGTTAAATAATTCCTTTCTAGTCCCTGTAAGTGGTAAGAATGGTGCTGGTGTGGATCTGGCCAGTCACTTGGTGTTAGGGGTCAGGAAAGAGAAAATGTATGTCAAACTGAGATTTTAAGAGCATAATCAAAGTTTATGTGAAAGTCAAATCCTTGGAGAGAAACCCCAGACAAAGGTAGGCAAAAGGCCAGTTCTTAGGGTTGGGATGTCATTGGCCAGTAGGGAGAGAAGAGTCAAAGTCATGACCACTTAGTTACCCCCCATGTGTCCTTACATGGCCTTAAAAGTTCAGTTTCATTGGTGGAGAACTGACTGAAACATGGACATGTAATGAAGGGAAACACCAGGCTCACAGGGTCAGTCAGGTTGCAGATGGGACAGCTCAATAACACAAACTCCAGTGTTGGAGACTCCAGCCTTCAAAAGAGTTAAGTCAGGGAAATCTAAGAAAAAAAATCCATACCTTTTTTTTAATAATAGAAGGAAGGAAATATCACAGATATAACTTCTCCTCTCACCTAGTCCTAACTCTGTTATCTGCTACTGTAATAATAACATTTTGTCTTAGAAGTAGTGAAAAAATAATTTTCTCTTGCTTGACAGAATAAACCTGCACTCATGTAATAGTCATTTAATATAGATCTTTATTTCACAATTACTGTTATGTTGCTTATTTTGATACAAAGTTAAATCTATGCTTAAAAGGCTCTGTATACACTTTTTTTTTTTTTTTAAATTCATATGGTTTTAAAGCAGTATGAGGGAAAGGAGGGAAAAGACAAGGTCAGAATTATAATTTCCTTTGCCCTTTGTTCCAGTGGATAATGTCTCTTCCACCTGAAGCTCATTATTGTTGGCAGATAGCAGGATGCTGTATGTCACAGTTCCCTCATTAAAATGTCATCTGTGGTTTCGAGATCCAGGCCTGTGATCTTGAGCTCAAAAACAGTGTTGAAGCTGGGGGCTAGGAAGTACCACAGGCATCCACCCATCAGCAAACATGTATGAGATCATAAAAGTTCTCTTCCTTCTGTAGGCCATTTTGGGGTTTTTTAACAACATGGGAGAAGTAGCCTCCAAATAGCTGTGTTTTCTAATTCTGTGACTGTAGGGTAATTCTGACCACTGTCAGATGGTTCCTTCCACCCTTAACCATTCTGTGATTCTGTGTGTGACTGCAATTACAGGTACTGACCACTGTCAGATGGTTCCTTCCACCCTTAACCATTCTGATTCTGTGTTTGACTGCAATTACAGGTAAATGCTGGGAAACCTGTAATTTTCAGTAATTTGTCTAAGTGAGAAAGCTAACCCTGTGACAGTGATTCTAGCATAAATAAAATCTCTGAAAACACATGCCTTGAAAAACATACACAGTATGTATGGAACTGATTGCCCATTTTATTAATTAGAAGCAATTCAGCCATGGCCTTAACTTTCCATTTTACTGGTGGTAGACAATGTTTTCTAAACAAGAATAATAATAAAACCACAACAGATTTATTGTGTAATTATAGAGTAATGACAGTGTGTTACTAATTGCTGTTGTAGTTGTGAGTTCCTGGTAGCCTGAAGGGAAGGTGTGAGATAACCAGCATGGCAACAGAGCCATCAGGACCAGCGTGGCTCCTCCCTTCTGGGGTAGGAGGTGTGATGGAGGGCCAGGGTGTCCATGTGGTATCCTGGCCCCTGGGTGCTCCCTGGCCTGTTCCTGACACAGGTGGGGTCTGACCCATGACTGCAGCAGGCTGCCCATCATAACGAGCATTAAGCAAAAATATTTCTCTGACCATGCTACATTTTTAGGGGCTTTTGGTAATCTTATTCACACCCTGATTTCTGTCACCTATTTGTCTTCTGCAAAGACAGAAGATGCATATTTGAACAATTAAATATTTTTCAGTTCCTAGAATGACAATATAGAACCTTGTCAGAAGAGAGAAGAAGCATACCTGAGTGTTTCAGGACAATTAACCATTTTCATTGATTATTTTGTACCTGAATTAATTTTGTAACCTTTACATGTATCATACTTAAAACTACTTAAGCTCCTTAGCCCTAGGAAATAGGAAAAATTTTCAGTCATATTTCATAAATGCTGTTTGGAAGAATTTAATAATCTCTCTCTTGCTATGTTAAAATGAATTATTTCAGGAATCATTCCACCACGATCCTTATTACACTGAGATTATTTATTTGGCCCAACCCAGTGACAACATATAAATTTTGAAATTTAGAAGTACTCAAACAGTTGGCTCAGGCCATAGTGTGTTTAAACTTTGTATTTATTAATGTGCAGTGGTTTTGTTTAAAAAATGAAATACTCTGACAGATGTTTTACAAATCAAATTATTCTGTTTTAGGCCAAGATGACTCAACTGCCAGAAGCTGAAAAGGAAAAGATAGCTGAGCAAGTGGCTGATTTCAAAAAAGTCAAGAGTAAGCTTGATGCAGAGATTGAAATCTGGGATGATACCAGCAATGACATAATTGTTCTTGCCAAGAGGATGTGTGTGATTATGATGGAGATGACTGACTTCACAAGGTAATTACATAAAAAAAAGGGTTCTTGTATATTTAGAAATGCTGGAGGCCATTGTCACACTGTTAGAGCAGCAAACACGGAGTTTAATGTCAGCTCACAGCATCTCTGCAAAGTTGAGTGGCTCAGCTAATGCAACACATCAGGTAGGAGCATTGAAGTGTTGGGGGGATTTAATATTTTGAACTATGGTAATCCCTATTTGTTTGCCTTTGTCCTTTCTTATTAATTTGTTGGTAGGGTTTTTGCACATGTTTTAGCATTCTCATTTCTGCTCTCAGTGAAAGGGAAAAAGTAACAAAATAATCTTGATTTTAAGCTGTAGATTTCTCATCTGTTGTTCTGTCTGCTTGTACCAGAGCATGCTGTCAAGCATGAAACATTCTGTACAGAGCCCATGTGTGACAGTACACATTCAGACTCATACATATTTTATATCCCATTATTGCTGTTGCTTTCATGAGAACTTGTGCTGCTAGATGTAGTTTAAAGAATGAAGAGTACCAAGCAGATAGCTCTCAAAGCTGGTATTTCTTTCTGCTGCCATTGTGTGTTTGATGATGGCCTTACAACAGGAAACAAGTTTAAGTGCAGGAGCTTTTTCTGCCATGCTCTGAATTAAATGATGTGTAAATCTCATCAAATTGATTATGGCAAAGGAAGATATATTGGTGGTAGTGTCTGTACTTCCTTCCCCCCACCCCGGTGTAGTTAGCAGTAAAATAGTTGCTGACAAGTGAAGCCTTTACACACAGCCTCTCTTGCAGCACACTTACTGCCTCATGAAATCAGTTCTTTCGTGCAAGAGACAAAGAATATTCTCTTTGTGTCTTGGTGGGTGTCAGTGAGCAGGGTTGCATCGAGCTGAACCAGCTGGAGCAGAGCTGGGCTCTGCTGCAGGCTCTTTCTGGGGAAGACAGCTGTTGCATTTTATCAGACTGGCACTTTCCAAATCCACCTGCAAGTGAGAGGGGGGTAAAGACCTTCATGGAGAAGTCTGCAATCTGTTATAAAATTGGTTTTAAATATTTCCTTCAGTAAGAAGATTGGTTTCTTCTTTAATGATGCCAGATGAAGTCTGGTAAAAGGAAGATGTTTATGTGCCTGAGAAATAGGTGAACTCTCAGAGCTCTTCCTCTTATTGTTGCTTGTCAAAGGTGGCAGTTGTGTGTGCTGAGAAGCACAGCTGGCTCTTCATTTCCTGCTCTGTGGAAATCTGGGAACAGATCACAGAATTGCTTAGGTTGGAAAAGATCCTTGAGTCCATCTGTTAACGCAGCACCACCATGTTCATTTGCTAAACCATGTCCCAAAGTGCCACATCCATATGTTTTTGAACTCTCCCAGAGATGTTCAAGTGATTCCATCACTTCCCCAGACAGCCTCTTTCAATGCTGGACTACCCTTTCAGTAGAGAAATTTGCCTTAATATCTAGCACAAACCTCCCCTTGGTGCAGCTTGAAGCCATTCCTCATCCTGTCACTTACCCCTGGGAGCAGAGCCCTATCCCCCCTGGCTGTCCCCTCCTGTCAGGGATTTGTGCAGACCCAGAAGATCCCCCCTGAGCCTCCTTTTCTCCAGGCTGAGCTCCCCCGGCTCCCTGAGCTGCTCCAGACCCTTCCCCAGCTCCTTTGGGCTTCTCTGGTCACCCAGGGCATGAATATTGCAGAACACACAGCAAGCACCAGCTCACCTTAGGGTCTGAGCTCACCTCTATGTAACTCCCAAGTTCTTGAACATAGAAGAAATAAAAGATCCTGACATTTTGTATTTGTTACATCAGAAACTACTCAGACAAATAGTAAATTTGTGTATTTGAGTCACTTGTTTCATAAGCTGATTGCTGTTGTTCTTCTATGGTATTACCTTACATTCATTGTTTTTTAATCTCAGTGAGTGGTTTTCAAAGTTTTGGGGTTTTTGCTCTGTCTTCTGTAGAAGTAAATAGCAAGAAATGGCCTGACCTGCTGTAAGAGTTTTCATGATATTTTAGTGGAAACACTCTAATTTCTCTCCTGATTGGCTGAAAATGTACAAGAAAATCCCAGGGCTGCATTTGGTTTGTTCTGTCTTTTCCTAATCTTTATGTTTAAATGGAGCAGGATCTTTGTTTTCCATTGCCAAAGCAGACCTACGATTAAAAATATATTTGCCAATAAACATACCTAAGTCCCTTTTGCTTATATAAGGGAATGTGTATCCAATTCAAGCAGTGCTATGGATCACAACACTGGAACTTGTAATTCCTGTTGAGAAAGGAGCAAGGAAGGTTCAATGGTTTAAGCATAAAGGGAGCTCTGCTGTCAAGCTTTGAGAGTAGTTTTGCTGTTTGAGCCCTGGGCACCAGGGGAAAGTTCCTTCAAACAGAGAACTGCAGGATGTCTCTGCACAATTTTCACAGCACTTTGGTGATGCAAAAGTTAAAATTAGGGCTCAAGTAAGATTGGGACACCAGGCAGAGCTGGCTGCTGTGTCAGAGGTGATTCTGTAGATGCACCACAGAGACACCAGTGCTGGTAATTGACCTGGCTGGGCTGTTCCACAGCCTGTCCTGACAGCATTCAGCCCATGGATTCAGGACTCACAGAGCCTTTTGAAGGCTCTGGGACAATCCCTCTCATTTTTATACTCTTTATAAAGAGTAAATGAGAATCACTGGGCTTTTACCTCTTACCCATTCTGTAGATTGTTAGATTCCAAATGGGGCCATATGAACACTTTCTTTAAACAAAAGAGTGCAGCTCTCAGCAAACTATTCAGAAAGTATCTCATATTTGTTCTTGCTACTTGACATTTGTTTCTAAAATGGCATCAATATTGGAGTTAATATGGGAAATATAGTGAAAATAGCAAAACAAATTAACAAGAATAGAAAAAATAGAACTGGCAAAGTCATCCTCCAAAAGCTGTCCCCCTTTATCCTTGTAGTAAGACTAAATGTAGTTCTCTAGTACTTCAAGGATTGCAGCTTGCCTAAACTTTTCCCTCTGTAGTACTCCTGGTTACAACCAAGTGCAGCTGTATTTTTGGCCAGGGCTCCTCACCTGGCAATAGCCACAGTCTTAATTCACAGCCTTAATTCATCCGGGCTTCTAGTCTGCTTGGGAAAGCAAATAGAGATGGCAGTTCTGTAGTTACTGGACTCAAAGAGACAACGAGACACACAGATGACAAAGAAAGAGGATAGAAAAGGGTTCTATTCCCAGTCAAGTTCATCCATGAAACTCCATAACTCACTATTTGATTCACTTTTCCTGATGCCCCTTCCCACTTCAGAGTTACCTGAGATCCTCCTGTTTCCCATCCAGCAGCCAGATGCTTTTGAAATTCTGTGGAGCTTTTTTGTTGCATCCTGAAATCTGCTGCCTTCCTTGCTATTTTCTGGCCCTCCTAGTCCTCAGATTTGTATCAGCTCCATCCAGCTCCTCTCACCCACATGGAAATCCCGTATCCCAGTTCTCCTGCTCAGTCTTATTCCCGTCACCAACCAGGTTTGTCAGTGTCACAAAAGGTAATGGTACCTTTATTACTGACCCCCTGAACCAAGTGTCATTGCAGTCACAGTTCAGCTTGAGATACATGTAGGAATTGCCCCTATCTCTCCCCTCCCTGCTCATCTTGGGGCATTCCCTGCTCAGCACTGTTTCATTAAGCAGTCTGGGATGCTCTTGAGAGTCCACAGCTGCTCAGTGATTGCATCATAAGCCTTAGGTGAGAACAAACAACTTCTGTTTTAAATTATTTTGTCAAAAATCACTTAAAGATTGAAGGTTGTAATGTTTTGCTAACAGAGGTGCTTTCCAGCTGAATTATCAGAAAGGACAGTTATTTTTGAGACAGTGGCTTTGGGCAAAGAAGGTGAACCTCTCCTTTGGGTTCTGTGTTAAGAGCAGCTTCTGCTTGTGTTACTTACGTAAAGATGTTCTGAAAGGTAAATTTGTTTCCTGAGCGAGAGCAGTTCAGTTGTGTGTGCATGCTTGCATGTGTTTTATCATCCATGCCTTGTCGAGCAGAGCTAGCAGGATCTCCTTGTCCAGCAGGGCAGGCTAAGCAGGTACATTCTGCTGTTACAACCAGCAGCAGAATTGCATTAGCTGCAGTGGTGCCAGGGCAGTGAAAGGGTTTGCAGTGCTCAAGGATCCTGACTGTCCTGCCAGGGCTGTGTGCAATGGCCTTGGGCAGGTGTTGCTCTCAAATAAACATGGGCTCTCAGCTTTCTGATGGATCCTTGAGGGGTGTCAAGTTAAAACCACGTAGCACAATCAGCTGATACTGCTCCTTCTGTCTGAATGTCACAGAGCTTCTAATATTTACAGGAATAAATCTGGACTTTGAAGGCAGAAATCCAGTATCTGTGTCCTCCTGTCCATCCCAAAAGCTTGTGCCAGAGTCTGAATTTCCTTTACACTACTATTGTGTCTTTATTAATGATACTTGCATAGGCTGTGATATTTCATATAATACTTTTGTGGATGCTTCTGCCACTTTTATAGTAGAAATAATTTCAGCTGATTCTTAAATATGTACATCAGCAAGTACCTAATCTGATTTGGCAGTTGCTAGTCAATATAGTTCTAATGGTTAGTACTAAATATTCATCCTTCAGTAGTTACATTTCTAAAAAAAAATTGTAAAATCCAAATATATTACTTATTTTATACAACCCTTATTCCAAAGGGAAAATCACCTGGTGGATTGAAGTCTTAGAAGCAAAAGAGAAACATTTAAAGAATTGAAAATAATTTAACAGTTTGGCTCTGTGACAGTGTTACTCCAAGTATTTATATATATCCAATTTGCCTGCAAGCCAAGTGGATTAATGTTTCCTGTAGTAGACACAATTACCATCAATATTAGTATTATTAAACAAACCCAGTAGCCCATGAATGCACAGTCTGACTTAGATCCTTCTGCTAGGGATTAAGCAGTTAGAATTCCCTCAGTGCCACATGTTCCCGTGGTGGCAGCGTGCAGCTGCAGAGGGTGCTGGAGCAGAGGCACA